ATCTATCTATCTATCTATCTATCTATCTATCTATCTATCTATCTATCTATCTATCTATCTATCTATCTATCTATCTATCTCGCCGCTACGACTTTTAGCTCTCCTGGCCATTTATATAATGCTATCGATACCAAACTTGGTATGGCATAACATAACTGTGTGAAGAACATATTTGACAAGCCACAACATGAAAATCATGACATATATGTCATGAATGTCATAAATTACATTTTGTGGTCGAACACCTTTTGCGGTGGTTCATTCACATGGCATGTTGCTAAACTGGTATGGTATAGCAAGATTGCGTGGCGAACACAAGAGACAGACCCTAACATGAATATCATGGCATCCGTGTCATGTAACAACATGAATAACTGCCAGGCTAATGATGCGCTCGCGGCTGTTGCACCAGCGTCCCTTTTACCAAATTTGGTATTATGGTACGTGAATGGATGACAAGGTATGTGATTGGTGCAAACTGAAATCATGGCATGCGTGTCATGTAACAACATGACTACATGCTACGTTCATGAGGCGCTCGCGGCCATTTCACTAGCTTCACATGTACCAAACTCCGTATTACGTGACGCGAACGGACGACATAAGTAAATGACCAATCCAAACTGATAATCACGACATGCGTGTCATGTACACATTGGACTACATGCCACACTGATGATGCGCTCACGGCCGTTTCACTAGATTCACATATACCAAAATTGGTATTACGTGACGCCAATGGATGACGACGGTATGTGACTGTACATACATGATAATCATTAGATGCGTGTCATGTGAGAACATGACTACAAGCCACAGTCAGGCACCAATACATTTCGTCGACGTGACGCGGTGCGCGTGCTCGCCGGCGTTGGCATTTTCGTCGCGTCACGCTGGCGTTGCCACGCCGGCGCCGGTCCTGCCATATACTTGCAGGCGCATGCCGCGCTGCGTTGCTTTGACGCATGCGCGTTTCAGCGCGTCCGGCGTCCCTTCGTCCCAAAAAGAGGAGACGCAGAGTTGTCCGCGTAGCGCATCGGCGCGAATTGCAGCCATGTCACTTGCATTCGCGCCGGTTACCGTCGGGCCGCGCCGACGGACGCTGGTCGACCTGTCGTCAGACTATAGAGTTCTCGTGCGTTTTACTGACGTAGCGTCGCTGTGCCCAGCGTGCGCGCACGTCAACGCGACATTGAGTATGTTGGGCTCTTATGATGCACTCGCGGCCGTTTTGCTAGCTCCCATATAAAAAATTTGGTGTTACGTGACGTCAAAAGATGACGAAATATATGACTGGTGCAAACATGATAATCCTGAAATGCGTGTCATGTAAGAACATGACAACATACCACGCTCATAGCATGGTCGCGGCTCTTTCGCTAGCTCCACATATCTATCTATCTATCTATCTATCTATCTATCTATCTATCTATCTATCTATCTCTATCTATCTATCTAGCCGCTTACGACTTCTAGCTTTCCTGACGTTTCAATAATGGTATCGATACCAAACTTATTATGGCAAAACATAACTGTATGAAGAACATATTTGACTAGTCATAACATGAAAATCATAACGTGTATGTCATAAAAGTCATGATTTACAATTCATGGTCTTGCAGCTCTCGCGGTGGTTTCGTTCACATGACATGTTGCAAAACTGGTATGGTATGACATGACTGCATGGCGAACGCAAGCGATATACCTTAACGTGAAAATCATCACATGTATGCCATGTAGGTCATGAGTCATGACTACACGCCACGCTCATGGTGCGCTTGCGGTCGTTTCGCTGGCTTCACATATACCAATCATGGTATTACGGGGCGTGAATGCATGATTAAGGTATATGACTGTAGCAGACATGATAGTCATGAGATGCGTATCGTGTTAGAACATGACATGCCACGCTCATGTTGTCCTCGCGATCTTTCACTAGTTTTACTTATACCAATTTAGGTAATACGAGACGTGAATGAATCACGAAGGTATGTGACCGGTGAAAACATGATAATCATCAAGTGCGTGTCATGTAACAACATGACTACATGTCATGTTGACGATGCGCTCACGGCCGTTTCGCTACCTTCACATTAACAAAGTTTGGTATTACGCGACGTGAATGGATGACGAAGGTATGTGATTGGTGCGAACATGATAATCATGAGATGCGTGTCGTGTAAGAACATGACTACATGCCTCCTTCAAGGCACCAATACACTTCGATGGGACCAGAAGCGCGTGCGTGCTGGCGTTCGTTTCGTCGCGTCACGACGGCGATGCACACCATGGCGCCGATCTGCCTGCACAGACGCACGAGGCGCAGCGTTGCTTAGACCAACGCCTCCTCTAGGAAGATGCCTGCCGCATGGGAAAAAAATAGCTGCGACACCCTTTCCCTCCTTCATGTTGAAAATGTTCTCGGTCACTAGCGTCACCTGTGGCAGACGGTGCAACAACGCAACTTTCGCATAGCCTCCGAAACAGTGGTGCACATTTGCAGGTCTCGAACAACTCTCGACTGACGCGCCCCTATGGGCCGCAGATGAAAAACGCTTAGCTGGTACCGCCTGTCGCCGAGACGATGGATGGATGGATGGATGCTATGAGCGTCCCCTTTATAACGGGTGGTGACAAGTATGCCACCAGGCTCGACAAAAAAAAGAAAACCTTTTTTTTTATGTTGGCCTAATGCCTCTACTTCGATAAATTCTATCTTAATGGAAAAAGGTAAATTTTCAGCTTAAGTTCTCTGCCATTTACGGCACACTGTCCATATTTTATTTTTGTCCTTTCTCTCTAATTTTCTGCCACCAATACTCTAACCGTCTCTTACTTATTTCAATCGCGGGTGTGTTCAGCTTTCCATTGTTGTCCCTAAAACCCAAGGCTTCCTGTAGGCTCGTGCCCAAACGTACACCTGGGTGGATATCTCCACATTCAATCAGAACATGCTCCGCCGTTTCCTTATCTTTCCCGCAGCATGTGCATTGTTCTTCTTCTTTACTGTATCTTTCTTTATAACTACGCGTTCTAAGGCAACCCGATCTCGCTTCAAACAGTAAAGCGCTTCCCCTTGAATTATCGTAAAATGCCTCCCTCCTTATTTCATTTTTGCCCTTTCGGTAGTTACTCAAAGCCGGTTTTTTCTCCATAGCTGCCATCCAGTAAATCCTCTCCGCCTCCCTGACTTTTCCCTTAACGCTCTTTGTTGACATATGGCTCACAATACCAGCCGTATATTTACTGTGAGTCTTCTAGTTCTTTTTCTCCACTGTGTGTCCACGCTCTTCCTATACAAATAACGGAACACCTTCTCTGCCCATCTACTCTCCTTCATATTTCTTAGCCTTTCTTCGAACCTTATTTTGCTCTGCGCTTCCCTCGCCTCAAAACCTGCCCACCCCATATCGCCCTTTACAGCCTCGTTTGTCGTCTTCCCGTGAGCACCCAACGCGAGGCGTCCCACAGTCCTTTGATTTACATCCATTCCCGATTGCACCTCTGCCCTCATGCACACCACTGAGTTCCCAAAAGTAAGCCCTGGAACCATTACACCCTTCCACAGACCTCGAAGCACCTCATACCTATTGTATCCCCACAACGCTCTGTGCTTCATTATTGCCGCATTCCTCTTTCCTTTTGCTGCCGAGGCTTTTTCCTGTACCTCCATGTATCTATCACTCTCATTTACCCATACTCCAAGGTACTTGTATTACTTGTATTCACGATAGTGTCAGTCGCAAGCGCCACCGCACGGCGCTTGTTAAAACTGAAGGCAGGCCAACTCCGCAGGGAGCGCGAGCCATTCCTCAGGCATCTTTCTAGAGGAGGCGTTGCTTAGACGCATGCGCGTGTGAGCGCGGCGGGCGTTTCTCCGTCACGTAGAGAGGCAGACACAGTGCCGTCTGGGTAAGGTCGTCGGCGTGAAATGCACTATGTCACATTTCGCGCCGACGAACGCTGATCGCGCCTGGCGTCACACTAGAGTGTTCGCTTTGCTAGATCAGCGTGGCTGTGCCCAGCGTGCACGCGCGTCAACGTTTGTCGGAGTGTATAGGGCCATTCATGATGTGCCTATGGCCGTTTCACAAGGTCCACATATACCAATTTTAGTATCAGGTGACGTGAAAAGACGACGAAGGCAAATTACACGTTCAAACATGATAATAATGACAAGGAAGGCACGGCCTAATTTACCTCGGCCTCGTAACGTTGTCCTCATTTTAAAGTAACATATCAACCTTCCTCATTCGTGCTTCGCATATCCTAGATTCCAACTGGACGTGGGATCTGCCAATTCTTTTTTATTAGAACACATTGTAAAAGCTGAATCCAAATAGATGTGATCTGTTTCAGCTGTGATAGGTATGTACATGAAGTACCTGATGGTGTGGCAGCAGAACCGACACATCCGTGACGAGCGCGTGGACACGGTGAATCGGTGGAGCTGTATGGCCGGCCTTGTCATCTGTCTCGGAGGACTCATCGTGGCGTTGTCGCCTACGGGACACCTGCGCAAGGATTGCACCTGGGTGAGGCACGCTCTGGTTGCATTGCAAGCGTTCTCGTGAACGCCGCCGTGGTCGCAATTTCGAAAAGAACGCTTTTAAGCGTCTTCAGCAGCACGTGAAACGTGAACGTTATGCTTGGCCATTGCCTTGATACTTCACTTTTAACTCGCATAGATATATAACAATAAGAAAATATAGAGAAAAAGAGAGGCAAGAAAAGGTCAGGAGGTTCGGGGACGCACGTCCGTTTTGCTACCTTGCACTCGAAGTAAGTACCAAGCCACGAAGCGGAAGAAAAAAAAAGAATATGACACTTGCAAGAGAACATGCAGGCTTTGAGACATTAATATTTGAACAACAGATGTCACTGGTGTCAAAGGTTCGAAAAGTGGTGTTATGTTTTTTTAACACAGCAAGTTTAGTTGCTGCTAGAGGAAGACATCGACCATACAGACAGACATCGAGCAGTTCTACAAAGACTAGCGTTCACTACACCGCTTATTCAAATACTTTTCATTCGAGCACAAAGAACGAGCTTGAAGGGACACCAAAGTGAAACCATGAATTGGTTTATATCGGTAAAGTGTTACCTGCGAACTCTTATGTCATTAATGTTACCATTACCAGAAAACACTGAAAATGTTACCAGAAAACACTTTCAAATTTAGCGCCAATGCATGCACGTGCGACATCACTAATTTTGAAGTGTACTTGCGGAAATCTGTCGGGATTGGATCAACTAAATTTGCAAAAAAACTGCCCAATCCCACGTACAGTGGAAATCGATGATACGTGAAAAAGGAAAAAGGTTGGAAAGGTTACCAGCACACGCGAAGCCGCAAGTAGGGTCTACCGAAGGCACGGAGGAGAAAATCGCAGGTTGTGCGAGCGCAAGGGGCGTGCCAGTAACCAGCCAGCACTAATTCATTTGCGTAGTTTTTTTTTTACATTGCCCCTGCGTTGATGTCGGCGTCGAGAGGCGTTTTGCATCCCACTCAATCATGTGACGTGCACTTCAAGACTGATTTTTAACATCATCATCACATGTTCAAGGCTATGTTTGCCCTTGATATTTCGTAGATGTGGATATCTCTACATCAATCTGTCTCGCTCATCATCTCGCCTTGAATATTTTGTGCCAGTACTTCTTTAATCGAAACCAATGAGGAACATAGAAATAACGAATGCTGTATACCTTTGTAGTTCCGCTGAAAATATGTTTAGAGGGCATTGAATTTTAGTATTAAACTTCGTGGCATATATAAACTAGAAAAGACGTTACAAATCGTGGGCCACATTCCCAGAGAATTCCGGTCGCGAGTGTTCTTTTCTACTAGTCGACCACCTTCTCTAATGATATGTCCAACATCATCACTGGCTGAAAATGTATCTTGCAAAAACTAGTGGCGTGACTACATTTTTTAAACACGGGTCCGTCTCTTGGCACATAGTTATTTTAGTAGATGGTTTCCTATTCGAGGCTAAAGACATAAGTAGGCAACTCTTTGCTGCCATAAACGGATCGTGATTTATCAGAGAAAATGCTCATCTCACGATGCTTTTACCTCGAAAGACTACAGCGTATACATAGAGGGGAACGAAGAAAAAAACAAACAAGACAAGCACTGAAATTCTTTCGTTCCCGTCTATATGTGCGCTGTAGCCTTCATGATGCAACACAAACAGGCCCACGAAGCCAACGTAGGGTATTTTCATTGTTCATAGCCTCTACGTAAGCGACACGTTGTTTTTTTGTTTTGTTTTTAGCACGAAACGCTGGTTTATACTTAATCGCTTATATCACGTATCAACGCAGTACTGGCCCATGTTCGTGCCTCACGTGATCGGGGCCATTATGGTATTCGGTGTTGGCTACACGACAACGCTTCTGCACCTCTACCTTCACTACCTGACGGACACACGCTGGAAGACGTCACCACTGTTCTACACCAGAGCCCTGTTATCTCTAGTCGGCATCACTGCGATGATTATCAGTATCCTTTGCGTGAAATACGGATTCTTACGAAGCCACATCTGCAATCTCGACGCGGTGTCAGCCATCAATGTGTATTCCTATAGACCCCAGTTTCGAGCATTTTCATTGACAGCCGTCATTAACTGGGGTCTTCAGGAACAAACGAAAAAATAGCGAAACGATTACCCTAGCGCTGAGTCAAATATCATCGTGTGCTTGTAGCCTCGCCATCATTACGTCAATCCAGGACTCACTGGGTTGATAGATCACGACAGACAGTCATAATTGAAGTTCACAGCTCTATATACCCTCAGAGGGTGTGCCACAAAACAAAAAAAAACGAACTGTAGTTTGTTGCCAGTAGTATCTATCTATCTATCTATCTATCTATCTATCTATCTATCTATCTATCTATCTATCTATCTATCTATCTATCTATCTATCTATCTATCTGCCTGCCTGCCTATATGAAGAGGCACCCTCCACCTAATCTGATGCATTCATTGTTCCTCTTTCTTTTTGGCCATCCACATCTGTACCCTATGTTCGTAAGTTGATTCGTAAGCGTTTTTTGCTGTATTGTCAGCAAAAAGCCCACCCTTGAGAGCCACCTTTTGTAATTAGGTGGGCTCTCAAGGAGCGAGCTAAAGTCTCTCATCTACACGTTTTGTCTGTTGCTTTTCCAAATGACGGCAAGATAGAATGGGCTTTACACTATTTTCATCTTTTTGTTACATAAGTAAGTGACACTTCAGTAGAGCTTAAACAAAGTAAAAAATACAATCTCGTAACTCAAAAAGGTGCGCCCCAGATAAAAGCAGAAACAGCTGTCTCGTCACGTTCGTTGAATTAGCTTTATGCATTTTCTTGAATGGGAAGTTATTTTTGTCTAACCTTTAAAATGAATTGACAAGTCAAGAAACTAAAAAATTTGGGCGCGTTTCTAATTGTGTAAACTTCGTATGTTCCTTGACATTTCTGTAACACCGCAGCGGGGCTCAACTGGCTGATGTTCGACATTAGCCTTATGACTCCGCCAACTGGACGAGGGAAAGTGGTAAGGCTGCCTCTGTACACTAATATGTAATTATTATAACTAATTTGCCCAAATACCCTATCAGCATTGGCGTAATTTTGCAGTAGTACCCTCTGCATGTTTTGTGTTATTACTTACGAAAATACACTACAAATGCTACATGCTGCGCAGCATTATCTCCATGCGCAAAGCATGCTTTTTTTTAATGTTTAAGAAAGTTTGAAAATTCGATGTAAAGCAGCGTGGCTGTGCTCATGTGCTACAATATACCCACACTCTCAATCATGCTTTATAGCATGGTAGATACCATGTTTTCCACGATCAACTACGTGAAGACCCACCGATTCCTCGGAGTCATAGTTGATCGCGACCTCTCCTGGAGCCCTCACATCGCCCATATGAAACTAAACTCACCATGATCACCCACGTACTTGAGGTTTCTTGCTGGAAAAACGTGGGGTGCATCGGTATATAAAGCAATGCTCCAACTCTACACTGTTTTGTTCCTCGGTTATATGCGATACAGCTTACCCGTGCTTTGCGGGATCCGAAGAACAAACTTGCGCGTCCTCCAGTCGATCCAAGCCCAAGCCCTGAGGAATATGCCTTGGTCTCCCGAGAGGCGCGTCTACAGCAGCGACAGTCAATCATTGCGCGTGATTATCCAGTCAACGCATACATCCGCGTAGACGTCTTTGAGAATGCACATAAGACATTCGCTCGGCTTCCATCTCATCACCTAGCCTCACTTCGAACTTCCAGGCCCCACTCAGCGTTCAGCGCAACTGTAGCTCAGCATTGCGCAGTGCTTCCATTGCACTTCACGCATGCAGCACAGCCGCCGATACCATTACGGTGCCTACACCCACTCAAAGCCCTTCTTACAATCCTGGCATCCAAAATAAGAAAAGTCGTCGCATCTAGCCCTGAAACAGGCCACATTACTTTTCCTGCAAGAGAAGCACAACGGACGCCTTCACATTTACACGGATGGCTCGGTGTCATCAGTAAGCTCTGCAGGGGCGGTGGTTATTCCCGCGAGGCACATCACAATTAAATTCATGACATCGCATTTGACGTCATCGACAGCTGCAGAACTTGCAGCCATTCGTGCAGCTCTGGAGTTATAGTGAAAGAACCTTCGGAATTTGGTCGATCTTCTCGGACTCGAAGGCATCTCTTCAATGTCTTATATCACCCTTTCGCCATGGACCTAATGAACCAGTTAGTAGCTGAAATAAGGCTTCTTCATCACCAAGCAACCGAAAAAAAAGCACAGCATAGTGTATCAGTGGATACCAGGTCATTGCGGTATATATGGCAATGACCGCGCAGATGAGGCCGCTAGATCTGCACACGATGGTACCAATACACAGCCATCCCGTTCTCAAGAACCGACGCAGCTACAAGACTTCGTTCGCTTGCACGTGACCTCACACTGGTACAGTGGAACTCGACAGACTTCACAAACGCGCGCCTGCATAACTTGGATCCCGATCTGCAGCTTCGTCTTCCCCCAAGGATATCTCGAGCTGAGGAGACTCTTCTATGCCGCCTGTGGCTTGGAGTGGCTTTCACGAACGCATACTCTTATCTCATCGGGATGGCCAGCTCTCCTACATGCACTTACTGCACTTGCGAAGAAACCATCGCGTACCTTCTATGTGAGTGCACCTATTTCAACGTGCAAAGACAAGAACTCACTGCAGCTCTGGATAGACTAGACAATCGGCCTTTGTCGGAACAAAGGATTCTGGGTCATTGGCCGAGCCCATCCTCAGCCCAGAAGGCTTTGAAAGCTTTGCTGCGCTTTTTGCGGACAACTGGCCTCAGAGACAGACTTTAGTGTCTTATACTCATTGATGTTGCCTTTCCTCTATCGCAATTTTTTTTTTGTAATTTCTCCCTCTCTTCGCAACATTTCTTTTTAACATCTTTCATTCCCCTCACCCCTTTCCCCAGCACAGGGTAGCCAGCCGGTCTAAGAACTGGCTAACCTCCCTGTCTTTCCGCTTAAACTTTCCTGCTCCTCCTCCTCCTTCAGTGAGTAAAGGCTGAAATACACCAACGGCTACAATATTCAAGGTGGAAGTTTGTCATAAGCTTTTACATCAGTATTAGCCAATATTCAAGATTCAACCTCAACATAAATGTCATGATGAAGATAGTACAATAATGACTCTGTCACGTCTACGACACAATAGTTTCAGGCAAGAACGCGTTCATGTTGTACTCACTGTCAGAGTCGACAACCCTATAGAACACTGGACTGAATCCGTCTCGGTATTTTGATTATTTGAACAAAAAATGTTACCGCTCTGGGCTCGGACGTTTCATTTCATTAAATTTTTTTGATCGGTGCTTGTCATTCGAAAACATCTGAAAACATCCTGTAATAGCTCTATTATGCGCTATTCTAATCGAGCGCAGAATCTAATAAAACTCTATTCGATTCCTTATTCAAAATTTTCCAATATTCGTGTACCTCTAGTAGCAAGGGGCCCTTTCAACACAGTGCCGACTCATTTTTCTTTTTGTAGAGTTGCGCAAGGAAAACCCGGACGTCGATGTGTAGCTATGGCGCACCTCAATCACGTCTGCACTATCGCTAAAGAAAAAAAGTCCCCCCCCCTTTTTTTTGTTTCTTCTTTTGATATCGCGTCAGACAAGGAAGGGGCACTTAATGGCAGTGAGTCTTGCGTCACAACCGCCGAGTGTACGAGTTTTCTTCCACACATTCATTAACAAAGACACCCCCATCAAGCTTTCAACGATAACGAGTGGTAAGCCAATCTACGTGACCCCAGTATTGCATGTCCATAGATCATTGAGGATGTTGTTCAGAAAGACAAGGCCTCGATTATAATCGTTAAGGGGCCAAACACATGATGTTGTAAATGTGCCCTAGTCCGCCTGCCTGCATGCAGTCTATGGGCGGATATGAACGATCACCAATGTGGAGTGCGCGAAAATAAATAAAGTAAATATGAAGACGCCGAGTATATAATAAAATAAACAAGCGCACCCTTGAGGAAGAAACCTACTTGCTCTATACTTTCACTAATGCGTGGATAAAGGAGTGTATTATTGGTCGTAATCACATGCATATAGAATGAAAAGCGTAGCAGTTTTAGTTTTTATATATTTTTCGTCGTTCTTGTGTCATTGGTACTGACTATTTGAATAAATAGGCAACACTCGCCTTAGAATAGCGTTATGGCATCCCCGCACAACAACTATATGGCTAGCAGCAACTCCCGGGAAACCCACCTTTCTCTCTTTTTTTTTTCCTTTCCTTCTCATAGAGGTTTTTAAACAATCATTTTAATCAACTCGCGGTTACACTGCGTTTATTTTTGTATCAATCAGATAATTATCATGTGTATGAAGAATAATTCTAAAATCGGACTGACAGCTAGGCGCATACTTCTCAGAAAAAAACCTAACATCAGTCTGCTCTTGCGTCACCCTGCGTAGAAGAACCATTGCTTTTCCATACATGGCAGTAACATAAACACGGAAACAAAATGACGGCTGCACGCTTTCACACGCGCGACTTTTAACTTTTAACTGAGTATATCAAAATTCAGTCCTACCCTCACAGACAGAAACTACATTCACTAGAAATATGAGAAAGGACGTCCGCAGTGGTGTAGCGGTTAGAGTGCTCGGCTGCTGGCCCGAAGGTCATGGGTTTGATTCCCGTTGTGGCGGTCGCACTTCAATGGAGGATAAGTGCTAGAGGCTCGTGTGTTGTGCAATGTAAGCAGGGGTTAAATAACACCAGATGGTCATATACTTCAGGAGGCCTCCCCTACGGCGTCCCTCCGAACCGCATCGACGTGTGGAGACGTAAAACCTCATATATTGTGGGATTATTATTAGCTCAATTTAAGCAAATATTCAAATTATTTTCAATAGTATGCCGTTCTAAAACTGTCATGCCTGACGTATATCGATATTAAATGCGTCTGTTAATGGTGACCAGCTAAAGTAGTGGTTACATGTCGGGCAGATTTACTTTCACGTGTGCGAGTGATTCAAGCTGCAAAGTTTATTCGGAGTATCACATCTTGTTCACGAGTAGAGTGATGTTTTTCCCAGATAGTACACTTTTATTGGCTCTTTGTTTGTGACATTGAAATGCTATTTCCAGCCGTCACATGAGTCTTACCCATGTTATGTCTAGATACAAAATGACGTGAGTGATGCGGTATCCGCAATCTCGGCTGTCTCGCTTTTTTTTCTTTTTTTTAAGAGAGTGGACGTAGTTATCGTAGCGTGTATGGCAATAAAAAGCCACTAGAGGTATTCATGATACTATAAATGGCCATTTCAGTATATTTATTGCCACCAATATTCAGAGCATGTGTCGAGCTGTTCGTCGTTTTTCCCACACACCCACCCTTCTGCCCTGTACAATCGTACTCAACGGTCAGATAGTTAAAACCCTGGTACAAATACTTTACCCACTTCACCCATACATAATGCGACCCAAGAGTCTCAATTACTTCCTTAGACGAACTGGCGTATGAACAATTTAGCCGTCAGAAGAAAAAAAAAAGCTAATATAAGTAAGAATATGCCTTCGCCGGACATGTCACTCCGAATCAGAAATCATTTCAAAGTTTTCTCTCACCAGTTTTATTTTATCTTTTCACGATTTATTGAACAACTATAGATTTTGTCTGGTTACTCATAAAAGCAGTGCTCTCTTTAGCATCTGACACCAGGTGGACAGCAAAATTTACAGCCCCTTTAGACAACGTTACCAGCAGTACAAACAAAAACGTATGCGCTCATGAGACAATCGGTGACTTTGTTATTCTGTCACTTGCATTGTTCAATGTCTAGGGTTTCACTGGCCAAAACAAGGGTGTGATTATGAAGCCTGCCATAGTGCAGGGCTCCGTGGTCTAGATATTTTGACCACCTTGTGTTGTTTAACGTGCACCCAGCTGGACGAATGTCTCCAGGCATTTCGCCTCCACCGAAATGTAACCCCTCCAGAATGCACTGTAACTTCTGATCGCCCTATATATAGGCTCGCCTTTCATTCACATTACGCGCGAATTAAGACTTCCAATCACTTGGCATCCTAAGTCAGCAAAAACCCAGTAGCGCTCACTCAGCCTCACTTAAGAGTTGTATTTCACGTTTAGGGCTCACTCGCACTCACCCACAAAAGTTTTCTTCAACCGATCCCATTCGGATTCAGTCTTGATAGATATTTTCTCGGCTGTACTCGCTCCGACTCTAGCTCCCCAAAATATAACTAAGACATACTCACTCATGACTTTACATGGCTCTCAGGTCCACGCGAGTCGGCTGATGAGGGAGTTTGCCGACTTCTGCTTGGCATTGTGGTTAGAGCTCAAACAACACGGGCAAAGGAGACACGATGAGAGCTTTTTTCGCGAATTTTCTCTTCTTCTTCGTAAATATTAGTTCCGCTGCTTTAACCATGACTAAACCTTACCAACCAGCCCTGTTCTCAAGCTTGTTATGCTTGCCATACCCTTAAAAAGTGTTGGACGACAGAATGAGAAAGTTGGTTTAAATGCACGGCGTTTTATAATGACGCAAAAGACGAGACCAGAGAACAGCATCGTGCGTTCCTTCCCTCCCTTGGTATCGTCTTTTGTTTTGTTGTTAAGGCACCATACATACTCTTATTGCTCCTCCTCAACACCACCTCCCCCTTTTTGTTCAACCTTTCTGCACCTCGCCCGGTGTTGCTCAAGCGCCGGCCCACGCTTTCCTTGTATAATAATCGTATTCACGTAACCGAACGCTCGAATTATTTGCGTATGAGACATGTAAGGCTGTCGTTCTACTGAGCGTGAATCTCCCTATTCTCGTTCTCTTTCCAGTACCCGCAAGGAATGCTCAGCGCTGTCGTAGCTGAGTGGTTGATGGTGTTCATCTTCCAGTCCTACGTGCTGACGTACATCCCGGATTTCCGCAAAGCGACGTTTGTGCTCGACGTGAACCTCAGCGGAGTGTGTGAAAAGAAGGAATAGAAGCAGTGCGTGTGAAAAGACCTTAGGACTTTTGTTTACAAGAACTTATGAGGAGCATAGACTCGTTGATGCCTGTGCTGACCATCGGTGGTATGAGTGTGGAGAATCTATTCTACCTCGTAATCTTTACTATATTTTTACTTATCGAGGCAGACAAATGCTACTGACATTGTATTATTTTAAACACTTCTTATGCCATCATTTTTGCAAATAAATATTCAGACAAATATCATTTATTTGCGTTGTGTCTCATCGTTCTGAAAGAGTTTGACTACGCACAGGTGATGTCGGCCGTGAAGGCGCATGTACACAAGGACATTTTTTTTCTTTTTCAGGTATTTCTGTGCGACCCATATACTAAATTGGAAATTGAGTAAACGTACCACAAGCAAACTATTCATGTTCACGTGACAGTATTCTCATCATGTGACAGTATTATCATCTCATCAGATGAACGTGAATACTTACGTGGACACATTTAACATATTTAAAATACATTTGATGTGAGCATTACATGAATGAGTGAATGAATGATGTTCAAGCTATGACAATTTTATCAGCATACTGAATCATGTCGTTGTGGTAGAACGGCATGGTCAAGAAGTGCTCAAGGAAGGCTCGACCAGCTCTTTCATAGCCTGCAGAAGTCAATCCAGGAAATATTCCTTGCGTACATCGTTCGCTCGCGTGTGCGAGGTACATGCGCCCCTTTGGTCGGTGTTAATCGATGGCGACTCGAAAATCTCCAGTATATGCGGAAGTGGTACCACCTTTTCATTACCGCCGATCACAGCTGCATGCAGCATGCGCACCACCTAAAACATCGACTAGGAATGGAGATGATAACCTTAAGGGTTATGATATGGCCTCTCTCTCCTTTCAGTTTAAGTCTTTTCTCCTGAGTTTGCCCTTCAATGCTGGCAGTGGCGTGATGCAGAGCCGCTGACAGGTTTAATACAAACAAAACAAGAAAGTCTAGACTGACTCGGCATTAGCGGAAACGACAATGAAGAACCTAGCACCGACTGATGTTGAAGAAAGATGCAGATCTAAAATAGTGAAGATGACCAAACTATATATATGCAGCGCCATCGCAGAGATTGGGAAAATATTCCAGCATCTCCACGGAGTGGATGATGGTGAGGTGGGCCAAGCTCCGGAGGTTTTTCGGTAATACCGCGTCTCCTCCGAGGAGCAGCTACAGGTTCCGCCCGGCAACGCGTGCGCTTCGCCGCCGCTCTCGCATTTCGGGGTCCGCTTGTCGTTGAGCCCGTTTCGCAGCGGCGTCTTTGGCGTTTACGTAGTACGAGCCAGTCCGAGTCACAGGGAGATATCGTGGAGAGTAGCCGGGGCTGTTAACATGAACTTCTAATTCAAGATTCAAGAGTGCGTAATTACATGATGGGGGTAGCATCATGGAAGCTCTCCATGGAAGCTTGATAGGAGCTTCTCTCGAAAAGAAGAGCTCTCATAAGTGATCGTTGACTGTGATTCCGAACTAATCAGCTGTGCTACCATCCGCATTTCTAGCTCCAGCGCTGCAGAGCAGGTCGCCACTGCTCTTGCACTGACGGACGGTGTGCATGACAAAGTTTATTTAGACTCCAAGGCTGCCATCAAGGAATTTCAGATAAGTATGGTGGCTCCCCAGATCCTACAGATCCCTTAAATAGCCAAATACCTCAAAAATAACTGTCCGGTTTGCTTTCCTGCACATGTGCACCTCAAAACCACTGAGGGTGTTTCGGTCAATCCGAACGAGGAGGCGCACTCGGCTGCACGAGGTATGACTGACCGTGTGCAGGGTAACGTGTAATCTCCTGGGCAATCCGAGCCTCTCTGCATGCACAACGACATATGTAAGCGCCATTACCTCTCAAGAAGAGTGGTGACCCTGCCACACTGCTCACTGTGCAGAGCCCCGGCTGTTACTCTCAAACTGCTCACAGCAAGACCCTACCCGAGTGCTGCGACACTGCACACAATATACCTCGAACGGTTCTCAAGCCCGGATTTCGACTTGTGTGGTGGTTATGTTGACTTCGAGCATGTCCTGCGGGGCTGTGCCTTTCCCGGTTCCTATTTCCACTCACAGGAAATAAACAAGTTGATTAAGGCAGAGGACCTCACTTCTCAAATTCTGATTGTTCAGAGGGCCCACGCCCTGACCATCCCCGAGTGGGTCTTGCCGCGTGACGTTGAGTTAACTCACCTCTATTGTGGACCTATTATTTTTTTCACTTACCTGAGCATCTTGACGCTCGCGTTTTATGCCCTGGTCTTCCCATGATTCCCGGCAGGAAAAAACAATGAAGGCCAGGACAGTTTAATGAAACTGCCCTCTTTGCCTCCACCTCTGAATGGAAAGGTGAAACACCGCCTCCTCCCCAACCCAGGAAAGAGCGACGAGGCACGCCCAGTTCATCCCATGGCGAGGAAGAAACACTGTGCAATACACAATTCTATAATACGCACAACACAGCATAGCACAAAAACGTTGGGTCTTACATGCAGATCAGCTGTGTGGTCAGGGGTACTGTGGTGACTCATCGATAGAGCCTGGGTGCTGGGCAGGTCACTGCTCGAGAAAAACGGTCGTCATGAAGGTACCACGGAGTACGTGAAAAACGCCCCGCAGACGGATCTTAGACGCTTGCCTCATTGTCCGGAGCACCTTGACGTACAAAGCAAGAAGACTAGACGACCACTTGATCTTCCCAATTAGTCAGTCGGTCCGGCGTGTCCAAATGGTTTTACGAGGGTCGCCGTCGGCCCTGGAGAATTCGAAGGACGACTTTCGTGCTGTCACCGCTCTTGGCGCATCTCTGAGAGCGCTGCGCCGGAATAAATCAAGGTAGGCTCAGCCGCAACATCTCACGCGTCCAAGTGGTGCCAAGCCAGGGAGGCCGGTCATAACAACGCGCACCATCTCAGGATTCACCATGCACCACCCTCCCCTGGCGGCAGCCTCTCGAGCCACCAAGCGTGATCCGATACGTACGGCGACATTCCAGGGGAATGAGAAATATTGGGTGCACCGACGTAGCTCTGCGCAGCGCGCACAACAGTGAAACGGAGAGCAGCGGTATCTCCACTCCCATCTAACGTCCATTCACCCAACAGCCATATTGCACACATCTCTATGGCATACCTCCATCAAGAAAACTAGGCAAGAAATTGCGAAAACACAGAATGCGTACAACGTCATCTAGTATATCGTTACGCACCTGCAGCTTGCATGCATCTCTATGGGACAGCGCCATTTATAAATGATAAAGGAGACGCTACTGATTACGCCGGTGGGACGAGGGATTGCTCTAGACCATAAAGAGCTTCGCCCCTAAAACGAAAAAGTTCACTACTTCATATGGTTCAGCACGCGTAACGCTGATTGCAGAATTTGCAAAAGCCAACTCATTGACACTGCGCCAATAACTGTCTCTAAATATCTGGGACATTGCATGTATGTTTCCTATTTACAGTTCGCAGTGATTTTGTCTTTATGAAGGTAATACAATCTATTTCAATAAGAGCCCTGCTTCTCTTGCCATTTCACCATATGGAGCTACATAAACGCCGTTTATTGCAACCCTTCTCGCCTTATCTTCGTTTTAAGGATCGCTTATCCATATCTAAAGGAAAAACAGGACACCCGATGGAATGATAACTAGCTCTCTTTTATATACGTAAACTTAGGTAATCACGGTAAACTATTTCTGTAGTAACGCTCCAACGGAACACCACAGTTTTGTTGCCACTACTCTGCGTCCCTAAACACGACATACCTGAAGCAGGGTAAACTAGGTAACTTGATATCCTTTTTTTTTTTGTGTGTGTGTGTGGGGGGGGGGGGCTTAACTTTAAGCAATAGGCCAAAAAAGCTATTTTCATACGCTATTGGCGTAAACAAACTGTAACTACAAAGAAAGCCTGTTAAAAAAAGCAACACAGGACAAGTAGACAGAGATGTGAAGTATGTTACGAGAATAAAAGATTACAGAGTTATCGCACAGATTGTCGTATTTTGCAAGTAGTGCAAGCGAGAAGCGTCAACAAAACGGGAACGGCCAATCACAAAGCACGCCTTCTATGAGAACGTATATTTAGCTACCAGCCAAAAAGATAGAGAAGAAGAAGAAAGTGGCAATTCCATAGAGAGGTTCTGGAGGTTATATATATACTACGCTGTCCATTGTTCTGTCCTTTACGCGCAGAAAACATCTGCGATCGAAAAATCACAGGCGCTGTCTGGTATTCGGGGCGTATAGAGTTCAGCGACAATGGCGGACTCGTGAACACTTGCCGTCGGCACAGAAGCTAGAACGATACGGGGGCCTGCGCTGCTGACCGCATGCAACGACGCGACAGAGGACCATGCCGCCCCAACAGGAGCTCTTGTGACTGCAGGTATGGATTCGATGTTGTTAACACTAATGCCGTATGAGCCACGACTTTATCGTTGTAAAACCCAGCAAGATTGCCATCTCAGCCCTCACTTGTATCGTTGTAATCCGCTTCAGTGGGGCACTGGTTGCGGTTCTCGGCTGCAGCTGACCCGACTGTCAAATTTCCGATCCTGGCTATGGCGCTCGCATTTCAATGGAGGCAAAATAGTAGAAGACCTTGGACTATGCCATGTCGAAGGGTTTCTTGAAGGGCCAGTTGGTACATAATACTGAGGGGACCGCGCCAAAAACGGGACGGAGAAAGATTGAACACATGACAGAAGCGCTTGGGTCATGTGTTCAATCATTCTCCGTCAACGTTTTTTTTTTTTTTTTTTTGCGCTGCTCCCCTCAGTATACCATGTGAGTGTACATTAAGCAGCACCCAGATGGTTAGAATTTTCGGAGCTCTCCAGTACGACGTCTCTCAGAACCACATCATGGTTTTTCCGCCTCAGTGCTTATATTATTATTGTGGTTGCTGTTGTTGTGATTGTTGTTGTAGTGTTACTCTATTACACTTTAGTAGCTTTGCATATCTGCAGATCCATCGTCTCTTTTTCAAGTAATTTGGGTGCAACGCATGAGAACAAAGGGCGCAATCAAGATATATACACAGTGATATGGTGCCCCCTACAGGACGGTGCACTACATACGTAAACCTCCCTATTCGGGGAATGCTTACGTCTCTAAACCGGCAAGCCTTCCATTCTTTGCATGCCGCCAGTGCTAAACATTTCGGGCACAAACTTCGAGAATATAAAAAAGTTGGCAGATCACACGTACA